TGCTCTGCGTTTCGGTCTCTTCAGTCATAAATAAGAGCTGAGGTAAGTCCCTTCCCGTTTTGACGTCTGGAGCACTTGTTCTGGGACCAGGGCAGTGGGTTGCATTTCCTTTGCACCTTTGGACGTTCGGTTTGGTGGTGGCTAAGTTCTTAAGCAACAGGCTTGAGGAAGTAGCCGCAGTCCTCTCGGACTCCTTCAGTGGAAGGAGCTGCTCCGTACCGCGCCGCCCACCCTGGGCCAGAGTCTCACTTGAGCCGCCCTGGGGGCTTGCCTCCTGCAGAGGCAGTCCTGCCATCCTTGGCGAGCCCTTGGAGTGTGTCACAGCACTCACGGCCAGAAGGTACTGGCTCTGAATCTTGCCTCTCGTTCTGGTCTGAAGAGTGAGGACTTCTTCCTTCCAGCTGCTTGTGGTGGGCTTACTAAGCCGTCTTCCCCCGGGTCTTCTCTTTCCCATACATTCTAGTTTACTGGGCTTTTCCTTCCCTTTCATTTTCTTTTCTTCTCTCCACATACTTCTCTTCTGCTTTGTGTCCCTTTCCTTTTGAGAGCCCTGAATGTGACCTAATCTTCAGGATAGCGGGTGACAGGGAGGAGTTCTGGATTATACCTGGGTATCCGGTCTGAGCATCTGGGTGAACAGATTTCCTGCTTTCTAGGACTGAGTGGACTGTAGAAAGAGTAGGTGGGGAGGCATAGTGGGCACCAGAGAGAGGCTGGGCAGTGGGCAGTGCGTAGAGGTGCTCCCCATCAGGGGGAGTGTGTGGGAGGGAAGAGGGTCAAGGAGGGAACCCGGGAAATGTCATTAAGAGCCAGGCAGAGAGCCCAGAGCAGAGGCTGGAAAGGAGTCGTGGGTGAGAGGACAACCAAGAAAATGTGATGGCCCGGGGCCCTGGGCAATCGGCCTTCCAGAGGTAGGTGGCAGGCGCTATCGAAAAGTCAAGTGGAGCCAGTGCCTGGGCACTGTGGGCAGCCTCCACCAGACCGGTGTCGGGGAGCAGTGGGAACCAGACCAGAGACGAGGGCTCTCCCGGGGAGTGGATGGTGAGAAAGTGTAAAGAGCTCTTCAAGAGTGTCTCTGTGGCAGAGGGAGGGTGAGGGCGCGAGAGCCTGGCTCACTGGCCCTGGGAGCTGCTGCGTCCTGTGTTCTCTGGCTGACTCCTAGAGGGGGTCCCGCGGAGCTGAGCAGGGTCCTGGCTGAAGAGGCCTCAGGCTGCCTCCCTCCGCAGCATGAGTCCCGGGAGAGAGCCCCACGAGAGCCTGTGGCTCTTCACAGTGCCCTGCTGGGCGCGCAGGCCCACGGGTCCCCCTCCCCCGCCCCGCATCTCTTCCAGGGAGGCCCCTGACTTCATGGCCGGGTCAGGCCCCTCCCTTGGATCTCACAACCCTGAGTAGTGCTGCTTCATACCTGCACTACAGTGCTAGTTTTACACGTGAATGTGAATCTTAAATTTATCCACACCTGTGTCCCACCAGCCTGGAGGCTGTGTCCACGCAGGGGCCTTGCCTACTTTGTGCTGTATCCTCCACACAGGAGAATTGCCAGGTGCCTGGTAGGTTCTCAATAAACTGAAGGGAAGAAGAGAAACGTCAGTTTGGTGAAGCAGGTAGACACTGATGAGCCAAGGGCCGTGGGGGCTCCCGGCGAGGGCTGTTCCACTGGGCTGGAGGGGCGAGCCTCTGCCTTTGCCAACGAGGTTGAGGTCGTGAGTGTTCTGTCTGGGGCTGATTTCTGTTATCTTGCCGTGCCTCTGTCCACTGCTTACTTCTCTCCCCTCCAGGCCTCACCTTCCCCCATCAGTGGCCCCCAGAGTTGAGTAGGGCAGCTGAGACCTATTCTTTTCATCTTGCTTTGCAGCCTAAACCCATTTTCCCATTCCCCCAAGTTCCAAGCATGTTGGAAGTAGAAAAAAACAAAAAGCCCCCCAGGAGACGTACATCCTCAGGATCAGTGGGCCAGGAGTCCCCTGTGTGTGCTGACTCTCCCATGATCAGAGCCAAGAGCCCAGCTGTTACCCTGGTTTCTCCTGACTCCAATTTCAGCACCAGAGCTACCAACACCTCTTGTGGACTTGACTGGGGGGTCAGGGGGTGCCTGCTGGAGACTGAAGTCAAACTTGATTTTGGAGATGTAGGCGAGAAGGCTGGCGGTGGCCACAGGAAGGCCAGACCCTGTGGCTCCCAGAAGGAGAGTGAGGGGAGTCTGTCCCTACAAAGGAAGAGACCCTGTTCCCTCTCCAGTGACTGGCCAGTCCCTTCATCTGACCGAGTTTGCCTGGAGGAGCAGGAAGACAGTGTCCTAGGCGCACATGTCTGCAGCAAGAGGAGACTCTGCTCCCTGGGGAGGCCTGGTCTTCACCCAGCTGCCTCCCATGCAGAGTGTGAGGCCAGTCCTGAGCAGAATGGACCAAAGAGAAATGCCAGACTCTCTGGCCTCAGATGTGTACTTGGACAGGAGCCTCCTGTACAGCCCAGGAAGGTGTCCAGTTGGAAGGCACATGGACGGAGAGAGCAGGGGGAACTGGCAGGAAAGAAGTCCAGGGACCCAGTGCTCAGCTCTGGCCAGGCCCCTTCTGCCCGGGTGCTGGTCCGGGCGGCCAGTCCAGACAGGCTGGAGGTGGGCCAGCCTCGGGAGAACGATGAGGCAACGCAAGCTGAGGTCCTCATAGCCCGTCTGGCCAGAGAGGTGCGGCGCCTCAAGAAGTGGAAGAAAAGGCAACTGCTTCCCGGTCTGGGGGAGAAGTTGCCTCTCCTGAGCCTCCAGAAGCCACTCTGCATGAAGCATTCCCTGGGCCCTCTGGACATCACAGGCCAGAAGCCCACAGTAGACGTCAGACAATTCTTTACTTTCAACTGCAAGAACATCTGCCATGTCACCTGCAGTCTGTGTCACACCAGCATCAGACAGAGCAAAGTTAAGGGTCAGTCCCAAACCTCGGGCCTCCTCCGTCACTTGGTGAGTAAGCATGGGCTGGAGAGGGAGAGACAGCCAACTGCGGCCCGCCCCGGAGAGAAGGGGGCAGGGGCCGAGAAAAAAAAGACCAGTCTGTCCCTGGGCTCCTCTGGCCTTGCCCCTGAAGAGTCCCCATCACCAAGCCGCGGCTCAGATGACTCCCCTTTGGGAGACGGTGGTGGGCAGCCAGGCCCGGGTGGACCCAGGCAGCTGTCACTGGCTCCTCCACCCTTGCCTCCTCCCACTCCCACCAAAGATGAACCCACTGCTCCCCCCGTGGCTGTCAGGGAGGAGCAAGACGGCACATATGCTCCCAACCAGCCCCGAGCCCAGGCCTGGAACCAAAGCATTGCAGAGTTGCTCTGCAGCCTGGCGCTGCCACTCTCCTTTGTTTCATCCCCACCTTTCAGAAGGTTCATGGCCCAAGTTGACCCTTGTTACCATTTGCCGTCTCTAGCCTTCTTTGCTGATAAAGCCCTGCCCCTGCTCCATGAGGCCATGGATGAGCAGGTGCTTCAGGAGATGCAGTGGGCTCAGGGCAGCTGCGTCCACCTCACCATGTCCACAGCAGCCCGGGATGCAGTCGTGGACTACGTGGCCATCACTGCCCACTGGGCGGCAGTACAGCCAGGGAGCCGGCAGGTGGTGTCTGGAAGCCCGCGGAGGACAGCGGTGCTCTGGGTCCGAGGCCTGCCCGTGGAGAGCACCCAGGAGGAGAGGCAGCGGGGGCTGCGGGAGAAGGTCAGCCTGTGGCTTAGCCGCAGCACCATGCGACCGGGCTTCCTGGTGTCGGGCGGCTGCCTCAGCCTGGAGCAAGCAGTAAGGATGGAGGGCTACACACATGTCCCTTGTTTTGTCAGCTGCCTTGACTCTCTGGTGAGAAACTTTCTGCATCACCATCACAGCATTCAGATCATCCTGGGCACAGCCAGGGCCATCTGCAGTCATTTCCAAGGCTCTGCAGAGGCCCGGCGGCTGCTCACCCAGCTGCAGCGGCAGTGTGGCCTCCCAGAGCACCAGCCCTTTGGGGAGCTCGCAGCCAACTGGGTCTCCGACTACCACCTGATGGAGTGGCTGGTGGAGCAGCAGCGACCGCTGCAAGAATATGAGGAGAAGCACCAGCTGGGTAAGGCCGGGATGGCCCTGTCGGCCATGTTCTGGAGCCTGACAAACAGCCTGCTCACCCTCCTGCAGCCCTTCCAGCTGACGATCCGGGAGGCGAGTGCGGCACGGGCTGCTTTAAGTGAGGTGCTGCCTCAGCTGCGCTACCTGTACATCTTCCTAGAGCAGGTTCCCGGGCACTTCGGGGAGCAGGGAGGCAAGGAGATGGGCGCAGCCGTCCGGCTGGCTGAAGGCTTGGCCCTGCAGCTCTCCACAGACTGCCAGCTGAATGAGCTCTTCCACCGCGAGGAGCTGGTGCTGGCCACCCTGCTGGACCCCCGCTTCAAGGGGAAGATTGAGGCCATCTTGCCTGCGGGGGCTGACATTGACCACTGGAAGCAGGTTCTTGTGTACAAGGTGAAAGAGATTATGGTGTCTGAATGCCCCCTGCCCGCTTCACTCTCCCTGCAGAGTCCCAAGGCTGTGTGTGTGAACGCCACCTCAAGGGGCAGCATTGCCAGGAGCCTCAGGGCTGAGGGCCAGGGCCAGAAGGAGCCTGGGCAGCAAAGCAGCAGCTCTGGGTCTTTGCTGCTGGCCCAGAGGGAGAAGAGCTTGCTGGAGCAGCTGGAACATGTGGGGCTGCTGGCATCCAGGGAGAGTGGAGCCTCGCTCTTCACTGAGAACCACTTGGCCAGCATTGTTGTGAAGAAGTACCTGCATGAGAATGAGACGATTGGTGCCCAGGAGGACCCTCTGACCTACTGGGAGAAAAGGCAGGAGGTCTGGCCGGCCCTGGCAAAACTGGCCACTGTCTATCTGACCTGCCCTGCCACGGGAGCCTCGTCTAGACGTGTCTTTGCCTCCCTGGGCAGCCCTGCCCTTGTGGGGCACAACTCCCCTCTCCCAGTGGAGACAGTTGAGCATCTCCTTTTCTTGAAGACCAACCTGGAGAATTTCCCCAACTACACGCGCCCCCCCCTGGTCTTCCCTAGTGGAGACCTGGCCGAGGGAGAGCAGAGCAGTGAGTCTGACCTCATGGTCCACGGCCCTCAAAATCTGCCTGTAGGGACTCGGCAGTAGATAAGAGGAGCGCACAGAGTGGTTATCCTAGGGCATTAGATAGGGACAGCCAGAATCTTTAAACCGGTCTGGAAAGGGACAATTTCTCAATTCTTGACAGATTACCTTTTTTTTTTTTCAGAGAGGTGTCATTTTTCATCTGCTGAGTGTTTAATCTATTTTTAGTGGTTTTTGCACAAAACAGATTTCCTTGACTCATAAGTGACCATGAGTTGTACAATGCAGTTTTATAAACCGCACTGCTCTGAAATATTGGCGGGTCTTCAGGGCTCTACCCGCAGCTCGCCCATGTGTGTCAAGTGAGGCATACCCTTAAAAGGGCTGCTTCTTAAAAAGTGGCCAGAGACTAGAGGAGGCCTCGGCAGCTGGGAAGTCTGCTCAGCCGCCCAGAGCCTGGTAAGCCGTGGGAGATCCTTCTGAGATTGTTTGAGGAGGGAGAGGCATGCACACGCATGTGCACGTGCCCGTCGGCTCCGGGTCTCTACTTCTCGGGTCCCAGAGCGGCTGAGGCCCCTGGCTGGTGGGACTGCCCAGCCAGTGAAGGAGACTGACTGGAGGAGACCTGAGACGGCTGGTCCTCAGAAAGCTCTCTCCTGTGGTTTGTTTCCAGGCCACTGAGAACCTGAGGGCTTCTTTCTACAGAGAAGGCAGTGTCAGGCCCGCCAGGCTCTGGGGGGCTGAGCTTCTGTCCCACCCACAGTGCCAGTGCCTCTCTTTGTCCCTGGCTCCTTTTAAAGGGCAACCCCTACCTTGAAGCAAGAAAGACCCACTAGTAGCAGATTGCCCAGAATTTCCGTAGAGCAGAGAGCAGGACCTGAGCACATGGGGTCCAGGAGCTGCGGGAACCGGGTGGGAGCGGAAGGGAGAGGAGTGCTGGGGGCAGGCCTGTCAGCCCCCACAGCCCAGCTCTCCTGAGCTGCCAGCGCGCTGGGAGAGGGGCTCTGGGGAGGTGGGGAGAGGGAGGGTGAGGCATCCGAGGCCTGACTTAGACTTTGGCCCTGGCCGTGGGGATGAGCTTGGGACACCTGTCCACCTGCCTCCCGTGGAGGGGTTGGCCGTCGTGTGCACACTATGGCTAATTGACTATAGGGCATTTGTAAGTTACTGAGAATATAAGGAAGCAGGAAGAATGAACCATATCCTTCCATTCAGAGCCTCTGTTAGTACTTTGACACATTTCCTTTTTCTGCCTTGAAACCATGCCCTCTGTGCTACTTAATATGCTGTGTTTCTGTCTTAGCTACTATAATAGTGGTGTTTTCTCAAATAAAGCTTTCATAAAGATCATATTTAATGGTTGGAGTAGCATGTTTGGATTAAAGTCTGGCTCCAAATTGCTTAGGTCACATCTGTCCCTCCAGCTGTGGGAGGTATGTGTTCCCAGGCTCACCTGTGACAGCAGGGGAGGCCAGGGCTGGGGCTGCACTCCTTAATGCCCCAACTCTCAGTCAGTGCAGTGGGGAAGGAAGGTCAGGACACGGCCCTGCACCAGCCTTGGACCTCTCCCTGCCTCCCTTAAATTGTATCTGTGACCCAGACTTGAATGACAATCACCTGTGAGCATCTTGAAAATGTGCATGGTGTCCTCTGCTTTCCTCCCAAATTGTGATTCTTTAGGTTGGTGGGGGCGGAATGCGACATGCCCTAAGGTAACCCAGGGTGGTACATTCGGGTGGGTTCTGCCAGCCCTTGAGCCATTCTTAACGTCTGGTGACTGACTCAGCTCAAGCGTTTGTGGCAAGGTGGGAGGCCTGAGTAGGGGCAGCAGGAAGGCGGGAGTGTGGAAGGACAGCTGTGGGGAAGCCAGCTGGCCCCAAGCAGTGTCGCTCAACCAGGGGCAGTTTTGCCCCCTGGCGAATACTTGACAATGTCTGGAGACATTTTGGTGTGTGTGGGGGTTGCTATTATTGAGGGGCCGGAAAACGGGGCTGCTGCTAAACTTCCACAGCATACAGTCCAACCTGAAGGGGCAAGTTGAGCCCTGCTCTGGACTGGGGACAGGAGGGAATGGGGCAGAGGAATGGTCCCCAGTGGACTGAAGCAGCCAGGTGACTGTCCTGGGGCTGCTTGGAGTTGAACCATTTTCCTCTAAACTTGGCTGTGTCCCACCCTGGCTGACTCACGGGCATCATTTTCTGGCCCACATCCTGTGTAGATAAACAGACGGCAAAGGCTGCCTGAGCGAGGGGGGAGGGCCTCCCTCCGGAGGCCCAGCTGTCAGCTGTCTCGGTTGTAGTCTCATCTGTGTAACCGAGTCCTTTTCACAGACTGAGTCGGGCCAAGAGCATCTGTTTGTCGTGTCTGTAAACGACACGGGTGTGTTTGAGAGAAGCACGAGGACGCAGTTGGATGTGGGTGGGCATCTCCCATCTGTGGCCAACCTGTGCGGCAGTTGAGTTTGCGCAGGTGGAGGGCCCCGGGTGGTCCTCAGTCCTGCCCGGACCTGCCTGGCTGAGTGGTGTGTGGATTTCTGGGAAGGGGAGCGAGGGAGCGGGAGCACTGTGTGGTGCCGCTGTTCATCTAAGCAGGTGGGGGCGCAGGGCCCTGTGCTGGAGGGTCACTGTCGCCTGCCTGGTGTTCGGAGGGCCTGATTTCCAGTTAATGTGCTCGCTCCTCACTGTTTCCCCTTCTGCCCAAAGCGTGCATCCAGGCCCTCTGCGGGAGTGCAGGCACACCTCCTGCCTCCCTGCGCCCACCTGCTCTCCTGTTCTTGCCCTCCCTTCGCAGCCGCCAGCCACCTCCATCTAGACGGTCACAACCCCCCCCCACCATTCCTCAGGGTGTTGCAGCCTGACCGTGTGGTCCAGCTGTGGCCTCACCTCTGGCTGCCACTGCCCCAGAGGCCTCATCTGCCGATTCCAGAGGACGTTGAATGCAGGGCCCACAGCTTCCCCTTGATGCCTCCTGTTTTTTCCCTCTGGCTGCTCACCAGCAGCCTCTATTCAGCCTCATGTTCTCTGACTTCAGCCTTTAGCCTCTCTGCCACTGTGCAGCAGGGGTCCTGACCACTCTCACTCCCAAAATAGTGTTTGGCTGGGGAGGGGGTTCCCAGAAGGCTGGCCCAGACTGTCACACACGCCCACTGAATCCCTTCAGCCTCGAGCTCTAGCTGCGTCCTATGGCCAGGCCGCGTGGTCACCTCAGACCGGATGCCTCCTTGCCTCCAGTGTGTCTGGTGCATCCCAGGGTTGAGAAGGGAGCCCTGTGCCCAGGCACGTGGCCAAGTCCCAGGAGGTGTCTAGGCTGTGTCCTCTCCTTGCACTGCTCTCGGTGGGCCCTGTGTCCCCAGTGCCTTCACAGCAGTTTTCTAACGTCTGGTGCCCCTTGGGCACCCAATGGGCTGGAACAGTTTTAACCAGATGCAAAGGTTCTGCCTTCCTCACTGCTTACACCCCCAGAAGACCCCCATTTGCAGAGCAAACTGGACTTCTCAGTGGATGTGTCCAGCCCTTTTGGAAATAAATGAGTTAGTACTGAAGACGTGTTGTAGATAGAGGGGAGCTAAGTAGACATGGGACCCCTTTCTCAGAGATGGGGCAGGGGATGGAGGTTGGAGGTTAGATGTGTTAGTGCCCCCAGCTCCACATAGGGGGTGTGGGAGGAGCTCTAGGCCTGGTGTCCTTGGGGAGCAGGAGTAATAAGTGGCGCTGATCATGTAAACACAGACTTGGGACTGGCTGATACTCTAGTCCTAGGTTTTGTAAACAGGAGCGCATGGTCCCAGGGTTCTTTGTAGGCCCTCCCCGCCTGGCCTGG